CCTCGTCCGACGTCTGCCCAGAGAATGTCGCATGTGTGAGTCTCCTGCATCTTGCTCGTCATCAACATCTATAGCAGGGCGCTGCAACTATAAATACTCAGCGAATGAGGTGCATATGTCCTGAATGGTCCTGAATAAATCATCGGGTATGGTGCGATATCCTGGAATAGTCGGCGGAGGCAAGTGGTCGTAAACATATGGATGCAACACTCGGGTGATGTCGTATACAAAAGGAAATGCAGATGGCCCCTCTCTCTCCACTGGCTCGAAACTAGGATCTATACGAGGGTGGGTACGGTCGAGATACCATGGCAAATAACGCTCGTCTGACTCCCAAGCTGGAGCCGCCAAACGACCATAATAATCTCGATCAAGCATATGCACGAGGGGATACTCCAAAGCTGATTGCCAGGTTCGTAGTCAAATTTGTAAGATGCTAATTTTCTCTCCCTCTTAACAAAACCGAACTGACGTAAAGCTCTATCGGGCATGTAAGGCTCGACCGTATCCATCCAACGAATAGTCCTGTGGTGGACGGTCTTGTCAACATCACGTGCCACATTCAACCCAAATGGCGTCCAATTCACCTATTGTATGTATCAATAGGCCTGTATTAATAAAAAGAGTAAATACATAAATATTAAATTATTTAAACTTGTTACTTACATCAGACGCACGCATGGAATCAAGACGTCGACGGTACTCGACAACTATATCCTCGTCCTTCGGGATATGATGTGTCACCTGCCACCTCTTACACCACGGCTCCCCGGGTACATGTGCATTAACCATTGGAGGCCGGAAGCACAGAAAATACTCATGTATCCAACACTATATGAATAATAATACGGAATGTTAAACATAACATCACATTGAAACTTATTAATAAAAAAGTTTGTTGATTTATAAAAATTAAAAAGTACATCTAACAGTGTCAGACAACCACAAATTTGCGCAGCCCCAGCTCGCGATGCCATACCCAGTTGTCGGTACAAAAATGCCAATGTAGCAGAACCCCAAGAATACTCGTGAATCTGATCGATGTACTCTAAAAGTGGGAAAAAATCTGGTTTCACCTTCGATCCACTTTTGTCGACGAACAAAAGTTTTCCAAGCAAGTAAGAGATATATGCTCGTACGCGAAACTCGGGTGGAAACGTAGGATTGTTACCGTACATCACATCCAACTGATCTAACCGGGGGCCACCACCGTACCACCACTGCTCCATAAGTGCATCGTCAATACCAAACACCATCACACCTTCCTCAATCGCCTGTGCCTTATCCATGTTAGTGTTAGGTCGATGTCCACTAACTGGAAAATGCATTATGTAATGCATATCGTGGAGAGTAATTGTCATCTCTCCGAACGGCATATGGAAAGTGTTGGTGTCTAGCTGCCACCTCCCAATAAAAGCCTCGATCAACGGATTATTGTGCTGAGGGAGAGAACAATCACGCAGGTGATACAACCCCGTACTCTCTAATAGTGAAATAGAACGAGCATCGATGGGGCCTGACCAAGTCGACTTGCCGTGCGACCGCAACTTAACCATATGTCGTGCCTCTTCAATATATATTCATATTTAAGTATTACACAATCAAGTATAAACACTTTAAATAAAATTAATAAGTATTACCTTTCCCTCTCAGATGTCGTACGCAACGTGTGCTCCGAAACTCGGAATCAACTTAGGCAGCTCAAGTCCACCGGGTGCCCGGCCAGTCAACCGCCAAGGTCTAGAAGGAACCTTAGGTTTCCGAGAGGGGCGGGATTTAGGATTTTGGACAGGAGTAGAACCACCAGAAGTAGTAGCAGCTCTAGTCAAAGTAGGAGGTGGAGTCGGATCGCCCTTGTCATCGTCATCTAATGGAAAATTAGGAGTCGGAAAATGATATTGCCCCTGAAATAAATTCAAATAAAAGTTTGTTCCAAACACAAGTGTTATAAAACAATCATATTGAAAATTGCATTAATCACCCAAAATGTACTAAAAATAGCAGAAATCATAATATATTTTGCTGAAAATCACACAAAATCTCCCCACAACGTTGTAAAAATCGCACAAAGTTACCCCAAAATGTGTTGCAAAGCGCACAAATCATCCTCAAAATAAAATATCTTAGATATTCTATCGTATCGTGATATTTGTATCGTATCACGATATCGTGCGATATTTACCAATATTTGAGGAAGATCGACAAATATGCCGAGTAATCGTTTCTATAGAAATCGTAGCGTATCGTGATATTGAATACACCGTATAATACGATACTTTGTTCTTATAGTATAGAGAATGTCATACCATTACCTTAACCACTATTTAAGATATTGTACCAATGCCGTTTAAAGTAGTATTATTTTGATAATTTTGGTTTGTTATACCAAAATTCAGTTGATCTTTTTTTATAAAGAGACCAAGTATATGTTATTATAAAAAATCAAAAAACTATCAACCCTTGAAAAATCTATAAAAGTCAATATATGCATGCAGCAAAAAATCTTTAACAACCCTTGAAAATTGATAATCAAATTAAAATATTT